ATGGACAAAGGAAGATAACTCCAATTTTAAAAATGACATGATATTTAGAAAAAAAAAAAAATTTAACAATTTTTCCATTTGTAAATAGCATAACTCTAGAACAGTAAAAGTGACGGCACCAAAATTCAAACTTGATCTGTATATTGTGGTAATAAGCATTGTGTATAAGTTTCATAACATTTGGTTGAGGCAAACTTAAGTTAGAGAACGGAAACGAAAAATTTAGCAATTTTCCATTTGTAAAGGAGCATTACTCTAGAAAGGTAAAAGTGACGCCACCAAAATTCAAACTTGATCTGTATTTAGTGGTAATAAGCATTGTGTATAAGTTTCATAACATTTGGTTGAGGCAAACTAAAATTAGAGAACGGAAACCAACTTTTGGACGTACGGACGGACGAATGGACGGACGGACGGACGGACGGACGGACGGACGTGCAGACGGAATAGGGTAAAACTTAATGCCCCCTCCGCTACGGCGGGGGCATAAAAATGGTGTCACCGAACTTATTTTATTGCTACCAGTAAAAAATGAAAATTTCCCTATATGTCCAGTATAAATTATGTACTAAAAGAGTTATCCCCCTTAAATGGCTTATTTGAAAAATTAATTCTAAAAGCACAAATATTTGGTATTTGTTAAAACATTTTCGATAATGCAATGAATAACTAAGTTTTCTTTATATAAATAAACACTGAAACCAATAAATTGCAAATCTGTCTCCAAATTTGCAGATTTGGGCAAAGAACTAGACCGATTATTTACTGTGATTGTACAATTCAAGATGGCGGTATACCCCTGAACTACCTTAACTCAAGTTAACTCAGTTCACATTATCAATACATAAATTATGCAATATCCATCATGTCCACGAAGTTCTCAATTTAAAATGGAGAAATTAGTTTGTTACAGTATAATTATATACCCTTTGATTGTATCCATCAACTGGAAAAAGAACATCAGGTTACTGATGGATGCAGTTGAGGACTATGCAAGAAAATGGGTAAAGCGCGAACCAGACGAACCAGAACTGGACACTTTGTCTGAATGGATCAAAGCTTTTCGATCATGCATTCAGAAGCGCATTCAAAAACTACAATGTACTATGAGCACAAGAGTTACTAACCCTTTCAAGAATCCGGATGTTGTGGATGCTTTATCCTCTTTGCATGACAAATATGTCGTTGTTCCAGCAGATAAAGCCTCCAATAATATTGTCTTCATATGTAAAAACCATTATTTGCAATGTCTCACAACAGAGCTTGGAATAAATAGAACTACTGGTAATCCTACATATTCTTTAACATCATTTACCAAGGACGAAATTTTACAAAATCACAAATCTGTCCTTCTTTCTTTTGGTATCAACATTAAAGAAAACGAAGAAAATTTACCATCATTATACTGGATACCAAAACTTCACAAAACTCCATATAAAGAACGATACATAGCTGGGTCATCAAAATGTTCGACTAAACATCTTTCTAAAGTACTGACTACTATTCTTTCCACAGTTAAAGATGGGCTTCAAAAATATTGTGATGAGATATAATCTACCAGTGGTGTTATACAGATGTGGATTCTCAAAAATTCGAAAAATCTACTGCTTAATCTTCGATCACAATCTTTGCAATTTTGCAGCAACATAAAGACTTTTGATTTTTCTACGCTTTACACTATTCCCCATGCTCAATTGAAAGATCGACTTCACCATCTCATTAAACAGAGCTTTTTCTATAAAAATGGGAATCGTAGATACAAATTTCTTGTTTTGGGTTACAATAATTCATATTTTGTGAAGAACCACACTGAATCTACCAGAAAATATACTGAAGATGATATTATCAAAATGCTGGACTTTTTGATCGACAATATATTTGTTGAGTTTTGAGGATTTATATTTCAACAGACAGTCGGTATTCCAATGGGTACTAATTGTGCACCCCTACTGGCCGATTTGTTTTTGTACTCGTATGAAGCAGAATTTATTCAGAACCTTCTAAAAGACAAAAAGAAAAAGCACCTTGCGAAATTCTATAATTTTACTTTCCGATATATTGATGATGTCCTATCATTGAATAACCCATATTTCAGCCAATACTTACATCTCATATATCTCAGTGAACTTGAAATTAAGGATACTACTGATACTAGAAGGACTGCTTCATACCTTGATCTTTTCCTCAATATTGACACAGACGGACGACTTCACACGAAAATCTATGATAAACGGGACCATTTCAACTTCCCAATTGTCAATTTCCCATTTCTCAGCAGTAACATACCCTATGCCCCTTCGTATGGTGTTTACATATCTCTGTTGATACGTTATACTCGTGCATGTTCACACTATATGGACTTCATATACAGGAGTGTGCTCCTAACGCAGAAACTGCTCCAACAAAGTTATGAGGAGGACAGATTAAAAATGACACTCCGTAAATTTTACGGACACCCATCACGAATTGGTCGATCCATACGATGTGTCTTTGTCCAAACTAAGGACATTTTTACCACGTGTTAGATTGTGGTTTGACGTTACGTCGTCTGATCTTTTAATTACCGAACGTGACTTATTCCCGATTGTGACTGTTTTGCTGAGTGTGAATTCGCATTGCTATAAGACGTATCACGGTACTTTTCTATCCAAAATTCATGTATTTAGTTTTGATGTTATATTTGTTATTCTCATCGGATTTTGTCAAATGTCTTATCGTTTGTAGTTGTAAATCTTATTTTTGTCAGTTGTATTCGTGTGTTATGGTAAAGATAATTAATCACCCAGTTCATTAATTAGATTTTAGTTTGGGTCAACTAAATTTATACGATATATTTGGTTTACAGTTTGATTTAGAAGAAACACCGACATAGCTAGATAATACTATTAATTATCTAATTACTACCACATTTTATATTAATTAGTATTGTAATTTTCATTCTTATTAATAAATGTTATATGAGTATTTTAAACCAAATCTTGAATTCTATCCTAATTCTATCCTATTTTGGGGAAAATTTTTGCGTTGATCTCTTTGGCTAATTCGGCTGTGAATTTTTATGTGCTGGTTTATGTTGTTTTATGTATCCGTTTTTATTCTGTAGTTAGTCACCACTTCGGTGTTATCATGTATATCTATTATATAGTCATTTTTATAAATTTACTGTTTGCAAATGTATGAATTATTCTAAATACTAAGGATTTTCTTATCCCAGATATATAACCTTAGCCGTATTTGGCACAACTTTTTGGAAATTTTGGTCCTCAATGCTCTTCAACTTTGTACTTGTTTTGGCTTTCGTACTGTTTTGATCTGAGCGTCAGTGGTTAGTCTTGTGTGGACGAAACGCGCGTCTTGCGTATTAAATTTTAAACCTGGTACCTTTTGTTAGCTATTATTCGTATGTTTCTCTGTCCTATATGTTCTCCCATTATTTGTATTGTAGTCCTGTCATGTAATGTTGTCATTGTAATGTTATATTTAACATTGCCATAAAGGCGGGAGGTTTGGCTCGCCACAAAACCAGGTTCAACCCACCATTTTTTCTTAAAATGTCCTGTACCAAGTCAGGAAAATGGCCATTGTTATATTATAGTTCGTTTCTGTGTGTGTTACATTTTAATGTTGTGTTTCTGTTGTGTCGTAGTTCTCCTCTTATATTTGATGTGTTTCCCTCAGTTTTAGTTTGTAACCCAGATTTGTTTTTTTTCTCAATCGATTTATGAATTTCGAACAGCGGTATACTACTGTTGCCTTTATTTATTCTTTCATTACAGGGGTATGTGAGGTCACCCCCCCCCCCCCCTCCAAAAAAAAACCAAACAAATATAAAGCATTTCACTCAATATAAAAAAGAAGATGTGGTATGATTGCCAATGAGACAACTCTCCACAAGAGGCCAAATGACACAGAAATAAACAACTATAGGTCACCGTACGGCCTTCAACAATGAGCAAAGCCCATACCGCACAGTCAGCTATAAAAGGCCCCGAAATGACAACGTAAAACAATTCAAACGAGAAAACGAGAAAACTAACGGCCTAATTTATGTACAAAAAATGAACGAATAACAAATATGTAACACATAAATAACAACTATAGGTCACCGTACGGAATAACTAAGTTTTCTTTATATAAATAAACAGTGTAACCAATAAATTGAAAATCTGTCTCCAAATTTGCAGATTTGGGTAAAGAACTAGACCGATTATTTACTGTGATTGTACAATTCAAGATGGCGGTATACCCTGAACTACCTTAACTCAAGTTCACATGATCAATACATCAATTATACAATGTCCATCATGTCCACGAAGTCCTCAATTTAAAATGAAGAAATTAGTTTGTTAAAGTATAATTATATACCCTTTGATTGTATCTTTTATTCTTTCATTACAGGGGTACCTGAGGTCAGCCCCCAAAAAACCAGACACATATAAAGCATTTAACTCAAGTTAACTCAGGTCACCTTAACAAGTACATTACAAAAACAATACAACGTCCATGAAGTCTTACATTTAAACTGAATAAATTAGTGTATTGCAGCATATTTATATACCTTTGGATTGTATCTTTTATTCTTTCATTAGTGAGGTACCTGAGGTCACCCAAAAAAAACTAACAAACACTACTGACATTTTAAGTTATTGATGTTATGTTCCATAATTTGGGATTTTTTTAGCCTAAGAATTATTTTTTTTTCTTTTTCTTTTGCTTTGTGTTCTTTGTTTTGTGTTCAGTACTTAATAAAAGTAAAATTTGAACTTTGTTGTCAATGGTGATACTTGTATGTCATTGTAGTTACTGAAGGGTCAGTGGTGTAACTATATAAAAATGCAATAATTTTTATTTTTTATTATCAAATGAAAGTTTTTTTAGGCCGTATACAAAGGATTAGGCATTATCTAATCATTCAGTCTTAAACATTTTACATATATTCAGTTTTAGTGTATTCTTTAATATTAACAACAGCCATAATTAGGACAGCTATGCTTTTTACAACAATTTATTCTGAAATTTATGTTCAAATAGAATGCATACCTATAAAAATAATGTCAATAAGTAGTAATTTTAACAAATTGGAACAGTTGTTTGGTATTTAAAAATATTTGTTATTCACTAAATGCATGTTTTTATATTGGTAACACCATTGACATGATTTTATCAAAGGATGACCTAAAATTGTTAAAATTGAAGGAACTCCTAATTTTGCCCATTGCATATTTCTGAATATAGCTGCTACCATATTTCAGAATAGCTGGACATATTAAAATTTTTAAAACAATGACATCAGTTTTCCGAAATTTCCCTTATCAAAATATGCATCTTTTTTTATAATGACCCATATACATGTGTGTTCTCATTGGTCATGTTTTATCGTCAATATACATGTGTGTTCTCATTGGTCAAATTTTATCGTCAATATACATGTGTGTTCTCATTTGTCTCAGTCTGTAAATGGTCTCTTTTGCTTATCAATTTAATCTGGGACTATTATACTAATATATATATACTATTTCCCAGATTTAATATATACACCACATTTACAATGTTTTTCAGCAGTGTGCGTTTCCTTGTGAATGTATGTCCATTTACACAGAAGACGCTTAAACTTGTTAATTACAAACATTGACTTCTGTGTTTATGAAAATTGCTTTTGTCACTAAACCCTTTACCACATACATCGCATTTGTAAGGTTCGTCACCAGTATGAGTTCTCATGTGTCTAAGACAAGAACTGTTGCGGCCAAACTCTTTACCACAGACATCACATTTGTAATGTTTTTCACCAGTATGAATTCTCATGTGTCTATGAAAGTGACTGTTGTCACTAAACCCTTTACCACATACATGACATATGTAAGGTTTTTCTCCAGTATGAGTTCTTGTGTGTCTATTATAGGAACTGCAGTCACTAAAGCCTTTACCACATACATCACAAGTGTAAGGTTCGTCACCAGTATGTATTCTAAAGTGCGTGTCTAAAGCCTGACTTGAACTAAACCTTTTATTACATACTTCGCATTTAACAGGATTAACACTTAGAGTATGTGTTCTCTTGTGATTCTTTAAGATAAAGCTATGCATAAATTGTTGTCCGCATACGTCACATTTAAACGGTTTATCATCAGTATGTACATTTCCCATGTGTCTTCTTAGGGTCCACTTTTGACAAAACCTGTTGCCACATACATGACATTTATAAGGTTTATCATTCGTTCTCCCACCAGGCTGACATTCATAATTTGTAGCTTGTATCACTTTGGTTTTCATTATTTGACATCTCTTAGTCATTGATGACAGATATCATGGATATAGTTATCTAAAATCATGAAAGAAAAATCATTGTAATAGAAGATAGTTAGCTCTGACAGAGACATATAATACAATGTATTATATGTCTCTGGCTCTGAATCAGTAACATATGATATATATTGTTAGGTATACTGTTCCCATGCCGAATAAATATATGTTTATATATATAATTTAAAATTTTATAACTAGAAGATTGGTAAAACCAATATTATTACAGCAAGGATTATAGCAAGGTGTTCTTATCACAAAACTAAACAAATGTTCATAACCTTGATAACTGTCGTAAAAGTGTTCATATAAAAATGGCGGTAAATATATTAGGGATGTCAACTCGGTGAAGATTTACTAATCGATTACTCGTTGAATTTACCGAGCGATACTCGAGTACTCGCTCGGTAAAACATTTACAAAATGGAAACACAAAATTATACCCCTTTTATGTATTGTGGGTCGTTGTCTTATGATCGTAAAACCCTCAACATTATTACCTCGGACTAAATAATACTAGTCCAAGGAATTTTGAACAGATATATCATGTTAAGGAGGGGTATTTGCGAAAAATACCAGTCGAGAGAATGTTAAATTTCGCGAGCCGTAAGGCGAGGGAAATTCATTCTCAAGACTGGTATTTTTCGCAAATACCCCTCAAGAACATGCTATATCTGTTTAATTACACCGAATGTTAACGTACAAAATGCATTGATGATCGTGACATAAAACGCATTGATGATCGTGACATTACAAGCGTCCAGTCGGATAGAGTATTTTTTGGCAAATACCACGGCAGAGAGGGTAAAAAAGGCATATCCTTTTTGCATATACCCCGGCGCTGTTTAAAAATGAACGATATTCATTTGATAAAAGTAAATTGGTGAAAAATACACTGGCTATCAACTAATCAAAACCCAGGATTCTTACATAAGGTGTAATTATATACCATAATTAATAACTCAATTACTACATGTACTAATTAGGTAAACTGATAATAATCTTATCAAGTAATTAATTAATATCTATAGAAAAATTATTTCTCAAACAACAGTATTTGGGAACAGTAAAACAATACACATTTAATCAACAAAGCAGTGTTGATTAGAACTTACTGATGCCATAAATAATCATTTTCTGAGGGTCGACACAGGGTGCAACGAATTTGTTACTATACTATATATAAAAATATTAATTTTCGCGAACCATTTAGGTCACAGAAATTCCAAAATATGGCATCAATAAGGATAGTTGTACAAATAATGTGAATACACAGAACCCCGATCCAATTTATCTTTTGCTAAAAGTATTCATCATTTTCTGTTTTGTATGTACTAACAACATTCCATTTTTCTATAATTTCGATTAAAATATTCTAAAACCTGCAGTTAAAATAGGTCACATGCCCCAAATAAACATTCCCCGATTGGTTGAACTAGTGTGGCGTCGATGTAAAGCAACGCAAGCCTCGATGTAAAGCACACGCTTCACAAGAATAAGGAGAGTTGTACAAATTATGTGAATACACAGACCCCCGATCCAATTTATCGTTTGCTAAAAATGATCAAGTGTTCATCATTTTCTGTTTTATATCTACTTGCAACATTCCATTTTCTATAATTCCGATTTAAATATTTCAAAACCTGCAGTAAAAATAGATGTATGATGTATTCCCTATCTAATTGGTTGAAAAGCTGTAGCATGTAAAGCAACGCAAAAATTTCCGTCAATATGTTGAACTACGACCCCGGGTTCGACCGGGGTTCAACCGATTAACAAACAGAGATTTTCTTGCGCTCAAATGTAATTCTAAGTAAAGTATACTGGTAAAGTAAAAGTATATTCTTTTACCGAAATATATACACATTTTATCATTAATGTATTGTCATGCTTCTACATATTTACTTTTATTTACGCTGAACTTTAGTTAAATTTAATTCTATACAAATTTTGTTACGTCAATCAATAGGAGTAAGAATATTTCGCGCCAAAATAAGAAAATAACCTGCATCACAGTACTTTATCATGGTACATCGACATTTCCAATAGAAAAAAGCGTTTAGTATAGAGTAATTTTGGTAAGTATTACTTATTAATGTTACGGTTCTCCAGAGGTGGTTCTCTAGACCCTCTTGACGGTCAATTTAATCCCATTTATCAATTATCCGCGATAGTCCAGTCGATTTGTGAAACAATTGTTCAGATTGTGGTAAAAGCATCAAACTTTGCAGAGTTTTGGTTAATGTCATAGCAAACATTAATAGCTATTGACCCAATTCAGAAAATCAAAATGGCTGCTCGGGGCGGCCATTTTAAAATGGCCGCCATACAATCAATAGAAATCATTTACAAAAAATTATAAAAAATAAATGTCTTTACCAATTTTGATAATCTTTAATACATAAATCACTAATGACAAAGACTATCATCTGAGGACTTCAAATATTTAGGTGCTGGTGCAGAAAAATTGGTACCGTTAATGTTATTGAATGGTGGCCATTTTGAAAACAAGATTTTCAACATATCATTATTTGCCTTTTTTGATAATTTGCTATTTCAATACGCATTTATACTAATGTTTTGATGCATTTACAACTCGTTTTGCAAATCATTGTTATATGACTGTTGATTTTTATATTGGATATTCACAAAGGGTTCAAATCAGGCATGCACATGTTGACAAAATAAATGTATCTAATACATAATTTTTTTTACTTACAAGTTTGCTTAAGTAACTTTTTACCACATACAATTACGTATATGTACAATATCATTTATGACAACACTATATCAAAAATGATAAAAATTGTAGATATTGAAATCACTGAAGCCGAAAAATCTAATGAACAAATAGACTGGAAAGAATTGTGAAACGCAAAGAGAGGAAACGTGAGGATTTTTAATTCCCGGCAAATACCAAAAGAACAGACATAGACATTGGAACTGGTTATCAGTCCTTTGATGCTAGCATACAAGGATGTTGCGTATTGAATTACTTTCCCGCATCACTCCAGCATCACATGGCAAAATGTTACTAATCCTGTCAAGATAAATTTTCAGATCTCAATATATTTCGTCAAGAAATACGAAAAAATATTTCTGAAGTTGAAGATGAGTCACCGATTGAAAATACTAGTAAAATAACCACCAGACACAGTTGTGGTGAATCAACAAGAACAATGACTGCAGGGAGTTTTTTGTGATAATGTATCTGACGATCTTCACGAAACATCGACATGTATGATCGACAAAAGAGTACGTGCATGATTGTGCACTTGAACTACAAACCATTGTTCTCTTAACCAAATTCAGTGGTGGAGATTTATTATCACAGGAGCCGCGGTATCATACTAAATGATTGTTAAAACTGTACAACAAGGCAATAAGACAGAATCCAAAGACACAGAAAGAAAGTCAGGAATCTGTTATCAATTGAAATGTGCTTGCCGAATTAATAGAATACAACGACGGCTCACAGTCTTGAACAGATATTGTGCCAATCTTCGAGCTTGCTGATATCGCTAAATTGTACAGTAAACGCCTTGAGCAACTTGGAGTTGTCATAGAAGGAATGATTAATACAAAGCTTCTGAAAAATTGGATACTAGCTGCCATTGAAAATATGCAAGCACACATGAAAGGTAGCGTCGTTCTCCTGATTTTTAACGAATATATTGGGACGTTCTGAAACATGCCATGTCTTATAGTCGTATAATAAAGGCCTCATCATAGCAAAAGCAGCTAGAATAGTTCGAAAAGATATGCTTGATACTAATACTAGTTTTACAGGGACACTCAATGAAGGCTTTCAACATGAATCAGTTCCACAAACACCGAGACACGTGGCTCTCTATCTGAGGAGTGATAAGTTGTAGTTGTATCCTTTCGACGACGAATTGCACAATTGAACTGTTATAGCTGCGAAATAGTTAGTGCTGTCTGCGATTCAACTTTTTGTTGTTTTTTTTTCAATCAGCGACTTATCTTCAACTTCAGAAGTATGTTTTCTTTTTTCTGACGTAATATTTAAAAATCTGCAAATGTGTTTCGACAGGATTTGTGCCATTTTGGCTTGTGATTCTGGAGTGTTTCTGCAGTTCCATAGCCTTCAGTCAACTGTTCCAAATTGAGCGATGGGAGGAACCAATTCAATGCGCAACATCTTAGTATGCTAGCATCAAAGGACTGACTACCAGCTCAAATGTTTATGTCACTCTGTTCTTTTTGTATCTGCTTGGCATTGTAAATCCTCACGTGTACTCTCTTGGCGTTTCACACATTCTTTGCAGTCCATTTGTTCTTTAGGTCATTCAGCTCCAGTGTTTTCGATATCTACAATTTTGATCCTTTTCGACAAAGTGTGGTCATAAATCATATTATATATATACGTAATTTCTGTGGTAAAAAGTTACTTAGACAAACCTGTAAGTAAAAGAAAGTTTGATTCAGATACCTCTATTCCGTTAACATGTGCCTGCCTTCTTTGTCCACTTGGTGAATATCCAATATAAATAGCAACAGTCATATACCAATGATTTTGCTAAACTAGTTGTAAATGCATAAAAAGATTAGTATACATGCAAATAGCAAATTAATGAAAATAGCGAATAATGATATATTGGAAACCCTTGTTTTCAAAGTGGCCACCATTCAAGATGGCTACCAGTACTTCAATATATAAAGTCGTCAGATGATAGTCCTTGTCATTTGTGATGAATATATCATGTGTTATCAAAATTGATAGAACCATTTCTTTTTCATATTTTTTTAAAACTTTTTTTGATCAATTTCCTAGCGGCCATTTAAAATGCCGCCAAATGCAGACCGGTTTTTGATTTTCTGAAATCTTTTTAATGTGTCCATAGCTATAAATGTTTGCTTTCACCCTTAACTTAAACTCTGCAAAGTTTTAGGTTATTACCATCATCTGAATAATTGTTTCACAAAACGACTAAACTATATGGGAACCCTTCTGGACATCGCTGCAGCAAGCGTATGAATCCTTCGCTAAATTAATAA